TCCTGAGATACTGGAAGACTTGCTATCATGTCCCCCCTCGTCCTTCTCTTCCTTAAACTAGACATACCCAATTCCAACAACCGTTCCTTATATGCTAGGGATACTCTAACGGACAGCATATACATTTAAGAAAAATCAAACAGTCTTCTGCTCTTGCTCTTTCTAGACAATGCAGGGGGAACCAAATCCCTCCGAGTCGCTCATCGATAGGACCATCAGGATGAGGAAGGAAACGGAAGCGAGGAAAGTCCTCCTGGCCTGGGGATTCCTCAACCTGTCACTCGCTGGCATGGTCTACACCGAAATGTAAGTTGGAGAGCTTGCTTGAGTGAGTAACACAGGGGTCTTCAAACTTGGCCCTGTTATGACTTGTGGACTTCAACTCCCAGAATTCCTCAGTCAGCCTCCATTTTGTTTGTTAGATTTAAGGCAGGGGTCTTCAAACTTGGCCCTGTTATGACTTGTGGACTTCAACTCCCAGAATTCCTCAGCCAGCGTGCCTGAACCCTTTTTTCTCTCTCCTTCCCCCCTTCTTTTGAACCCCCTATTTAGACAACCTACCGTGCTTAACAGTCCAGGTCAAGACTTAGCAGATGCATTCCTACCACATACGAAGCTGGGTTAGTTTTAACCTGGATCGTTTGGGAGGTTCCCTATTCTTCTGGATGAATGTAGCCCGTTGGCATATAACCCAATAGATCCTCTAACATCCAGAACAAACATTAATTCAACCACTTTGTTAAGAAGGTTGTGCGAATGGAAACGCAGGGTGTAGAACCTCATGACCTTTATGCTGTCCAGGTGTTTGGGGACAGCCACAGTCTGCTCATCTGGAAGATGGTGCAGATGTTCTAGATTTGTCTTAAGATAGGGCTCTCCATAATTGGCCACTTTAAGACCTGTGGACTTCAACTCCCAGAATTTCTCACCCAGCCCTGGCTAGCTGAGGAATTCTGGGAGTTGAAAGTCCACAAGACATAAAAGGGCCAAGTTTGAAGACCCCTGGAGTAACAGAATAGAGTAACAGAATGACAGAGTTGGAAGGGACCATGGAGGTCTTCTAGTCCAACCCCCTGCTCAGTCAGGAAGCCCTACGCCATTTCAGACAAATTAGGGCGCTGTCAAGGGTGGGGGACAGACCGTGCGATTCCCTTAACAGCTGCAACTATTTGTGCTTCGTAATGATGATTAAAAAAAATAGGTCCTAAAATTGGGCATCGCTCACTTAACCCTTGCCTTGCTTAGCGACATAAATTTGGCTCCAAATTGTGGTGATAAGTCGAGGACTACCTTATGGTATTGTGAAACTCTGGAAAATAGAAATATGAATACTAACCTTTTCCTTTCTCTCATTCTAGGTCTGGAAAACTAATCAGTTCCTATTACAACATTTCGTGCTGGGTCCTCTGGTATATTGGTGAGTATCCTGCAGGTCTCCAGCAAGGGAATGGTGGTTAGTTTAAATGCCTGAGGATGTCTGCCTTTATCTTGGTTTGTTTTTTTTAAGCAAGTTGGCAGCCCTCTGTGTTTAACATGTTGCTGCATTTGAAGACTTCTGCTCCATGAACGAAGGTGGATGTAGGTGTCCCAGGATAACGTTGCCGAATCCAATCTGGGTCGGTCACCGGGACCAGTGGTTTTGTCTTCCGAGCGTTTGGACTCGTGCTGAGCCCATCCTCGGGGAATCTCTCCCTAGCCTAGAGAGAGAGTTGGCTAGAGAAAAAGTTCCCTGAGGATGGCTCTGAAAGTCCGAAAGCTCGGAAGACAAAACCTCTCGTCCCGCTGACTGGCCCAGATTGGATCCTGCGACTTCTTTTCCATGTTCTTACAATCCGTCCGTATCACATTCGGCCTGTGTGTTAAGTTTAGGTAGTTCCATCCACCCCTCTGGTGAAATTCCCCCTCTACTAACCTTATTTAGCCCCCATACAAGAGAATATTTGTAGCTGAGGACTGGATTGTTGGAACACCTCCCCACCAGCAGGTAAATAGCCTGATAAGCAGAGATTAACACCAAGCAGTAGACAATACCCCAATCAAGGAACTACCAACTCAGATGAACAATGGAACAATAAACCCCAGCCTAATCAAGGAATCACCAAGGACATCCCCGTCAACACTGATAGGACAAGCCACCAATATGTAAACGGACCACAATCCCCCTTCTTTCTAGCACGTTCTCTAGTTGGGTCGTGAAATGTCCTTCCCTTCCTTCCTTCCTTCCTTCCTTCCTTCCTTCCTTCCTTCCTTCCTTCCTTCCTTCCTTCCTTCCTTCCTTCCTTCTAGCACTGATGATGTTCCCTAGTTGGGTCATGAAACATCTGCAAGAAAGCAACCCAGCTCAGAGAAAACCAAGGACCCCACATTCTTCCTCCTTCTCTTCCTCTTCCTCCTCCTCCTCAAATCCCTCTCCCTTCTAGCACTGATGATGTTCCCTAGTTGGGTCATGAAATGTCTGCAAGAAAACCACCCAGCTCAGAGAGCACCAAGGACCCCACAGTCCTTCCTTCCTTCCTTCCTTCCTTCCTTCCTTCCTTCCTTCCTTCCTTCCTTCCTTCCTTCCTTCCTTCCTTCCTTCCTTCNCCACGGTTGGTCTTCTACAGTTGATATTTGAAGATACGAGGCCCTCAACCTAGACGTAACATGGAGTCTTCACGGCTGATGGCACTCAGTGGACTTGTCCTTCATGAATTTATCCCATCTCTAGTTAAAAGCTGTCCAAGATAATGGCCCACATCACTGTTCTTGTTGGAAGTTCAGGAAATCTAGGAACCGGTTTGTTAGGTCAGGCCAACGCCTATCCTAGTTCAACATTTGGTTTCTCCTTAACTTGATACCTGCAGATGTTCACCAGGAGAAGATGGAGACCCACCTCTCTCCTCCTATGGTTGATGTTTGGAAGCATGCTGGCCCCAACCTAAAGGTAACATGGAGTCTTCATCCTTGTGGCACCTGTCTCCTTGAGTGTATTCAACCTTCTCTTAAATTGGCCATCTTGGTGGCCATCACATCTTGTAGCAATGAATTCTGCCGATGAAGGATGCACTCTGCAAGTGAATTGTTGCACATGGATTGTTGCATAAGATCGTTAGAAGAGCAAGGACACCAGCCTGGCAACCAAATATAGGTTAGTTTGCTCCATCATGTTCCCATATATAGCTACCTACAGTTGTTAAAGTTGGACCTTAAAAATGCAAGGCGGGAAGAAAGTCGACTGGTTTGAGCGGTGCTGCTGGAGAAGCCCCTGCGTATTCCTTGGACAGGAAAGGGGATCAACAAGCAAGTCCTGGAGCGCATCACACCAGACATGTCACGGGAAGGCAAAATCACGAAATTGTGTCTCACTTATTTTGGCCACGCCGTGCGGGGGAATTCACTGGAGAAAGCAGTTATGCTGGGAAGAGTTAGCAGTCCAAGGAAACCAGGCCGCCAAAGGACACGGTGGGTGGACACCATCACCAAGAGTTGGACACGACTGAATGGAGAATATCATTATCATATAAATTTTTGGTGCCAAGTTATACCCATCCATATCACCTGAAGGAGCAAATCACTCCTAGGAGTATTTGGGAAAAGAAGCATTAAGGGACATATTGTCATAATCAAAGACAAACCATCAATAAAAATAATTGGAAGGGACCTTAGAGGTCTTCTAGTCCAATCCCCTGCTCAAGCAGGAGAACTTATGCTATTTCAGACAAGTGGCTGTCCAATCTCTTCTTAAAAATCTCCAGTGATGGAGCACCCACAACTTCTGGTGGCAAGCTGTTCCACTGATTAATTGTCCTCGCTGTCAGGAAGTTTCTCCTTAATTCCAGGTTGCTTCTATCAATAATAATAGTAATAGTAATAGTAGTAGTAGTAGTAGTAGTAGTAGTAGTAGTAGTAGTAGTAGTAGTAATAGTAATAGTAATAATAGTAATAATAATAATAATAATAATAATAATAATAATAAGAAGAAGAAGAAGAAGAAGAAGAAGAAGAAGAAGAAGAAAGAAAGAAAGAAAGAAAGAAAGAAAGAAAGAAAGAAGAAGTGCTTTTTTCTAAAAAAAAAGGTGCCGGAACTCACACACGTCATACAACCCGCCTTGCCTACCCTACAAGGTTCCATCCAAAAAAGGTGCCGGAACTCCGTTCTGGGCGTTCTATGACAAAAAAGCCCTAATAATAATAATAATAATAATAATAATAATAATAATAATAATAATAATAATAATAATAATAATAAAAATAAAAATAATAATAATAATGCTGGAAGGGGCCTTGGAGGCCATTTGAGTGAACCAGCTTGTGGTTGAACTGTTAATGGACTGATGTGTGAATGCTATCATGGTTAGACAAATTATGGTTTAGATGTGTGAATTCAGCTTGTGATTGTAAAGATTGGATCAATGGCTTTCAATGTGTTAAAAGAAGCTATGGTTTAGATACTGTGTGAACATAGCTTGTGGTTGTAAGCCACAGTTGGATGGACAGAACTTTAGAACTGTGTGAACACTATTATGGTTAGACAAGGCATGTCTGAGTAAACCCAGTTAGTGATTGTACACTTCAGCTGGATCTATGTCTTCAGATATTGTGTGAATGCTATCATGGTTAGACAAGCCACGGCTTAGGTTCTGTTTATTTCCTTTGTGCTTGTATTCTACTCCTTGGAGATCTATCACAAGGGCGGATTCCCGTTGGAACCCTCCCTCTCCATGAATCCAGCCAGGATCCCAAACTCAGCGCCTCATAAAACATTTTTGAGGAAATCTCCCGAAACCCATCAAAAGGCTTTTGATCCTTTTACATTCTTCCCGCCAAAACGTCAAAGAGAGGCTCGGCCAATCGGAGCTGATCACGAGGGCGGTCGCCAGTCCCCTCCTTCGCGCCCGTCGCCTCGGCAACAAAGCCCGCCTTCGCCGCGGCGTCCTCGTTCTTCCTCGCATCCAATTAGACCGAGCATACAGGAGGGAGGGGGAGGCAAACCCCGCTGCGCAGGCGCAGTTCGGGCGAGGAAGGCGAATCCGTGCTGGTAAGCCAGAGGAAGGTTGCGGGATTTATTTGGGGGGGGGGGGGGGTCGATTGTTATTTTCTCCCCCGTTATAGGGAGTGCGCATGCGCTCTTCTCCCCCCCACGCTGTTTTGAGGTGGGGGGGTCCTTGCCCCGCAGCCCCCTCAAACCGGCCTTAGGTTAAAGAAGCTAATCCATGTGAGGCCCCGTCTGCCAACATGGCGCCCGCGGGACCACTTGGACCCCATTTCCCAGGATCCCTCGCGCCACGGACCGTTCCCCACGCCGCTCTTAAAGGCGCCGTCCCAATTCTGGCTGCGCCATTTAAACGCGCCGCGTTTGTGGGGAAACCTTCCCCATTGAATCAGATTCATTCATTCATTCATTCGTCTATGGCAACCTTGGCTCTTTTATGACTGGTGGACTTCAACTCCCAGAATTCCTGAGCCAGCATGAGGGAACTATGGTCCCCTCATGACCTGTGGACTTCAACTCCCAGAATTCCTGAGCCAGCATGAGGGAACTATGGCCCCTTCATGACTCATGGACTTCAACTCCCAGAATTCCTGAGCCAGCATGGGGGAACTATGGCCCCTTCATGACTCATGGACTTCAATTCCCAGAATTCCTGAGCCAGCATGGGGGAACTATGGCCCCTTTATGACTTGTGGACTTCAATTCCCAGAATTCCTTAGCAGCATGGGGGAACTATGCCCCCCTCATGACTTGTGGACTTCCATTCCCAGAATTCCTGAGCCAGCATGAGGGAACTATGGCCCCTTTATGACTTGTGGACTTCAATTCCCAGAATTCCTTAGCAGCATGGGGGAACTATGCCCCCCTCATGACTTGTGGACTTCAATTCCCAGAATTCCTGAGCCAGCATGAGGGAACTATGGCCCCCTCATGACTTGTGGACTTCAATTCCCAGAATTCCTGAGCCAGCATGGGGGAACTATGGCCTCCTCATGACTTGCAGACTTCAACTCCCAGAATTCCTGAGCCAGCCTGGCTCAGCTTGGAAACCTCTCCCTTTCCCCTCAGCATGGCTGGCTCAGGAATTCTGGGAGTTGAAGTCCACCAGTCATAAAAAGAGCCAAGGTTGCCTACCTCTGGTCTATGGAGATTCTCAGTCGTCCCTAGAGCTGAAGAAGCTTCTGGGATGAGAAGCGAAACATCTTCAAAGAAAAACAAGAAAGTCCAGTTGCCTCCTGAAAAAGAATCTTTGGCATTCATTCATTCATTTTGTTTTGTGTGTTCACTCAGGGCTTCTGCGCCGGAGACAAATTCCTTGTGTGTCTAATCACATTTGGCCAAATAAAGTATTCTATTCATTAGGAAGCCTATTTTTAGAGCTAAGTGTCAGAAAACTAGTGAAAGCATTAAAGAATGCATTGGGGAAATCCAAGAATTGAAATATCCAGGATCGAAAGGCAGTCCAGATCGCACAACCTCTTCACATTGTTTAAATGAAAAGCAGTGTAAGCTCTGAGATATGGGTAATCCTCAACGACAGCTGAGCCCAAAATTTCTGTTGCTAAGTTGAGACAGTTACATGAGTTTTGCTCCATTTTATGACCTTTCTTGCCACACTTGTTAAGTGAATTTTTGCAGCTGTTCCCAATTGAATTTGCTAGTCAGAAGGTTGCAAAAAAGGATCACGTGATCTTGGGATGGTCTTAAATATGAACCAGGCGCCAAGTGTCTGAATTTTGATTACACGATCACGCTGGATCCTGCAACGGTTGTTAAGTGTGAAACTTCTTTTCAGTGCTGTTGTCAGTTTGAACGCTCACTAAACAAATAGTTGTGGGTTGAGAATTACCTGTGACTAGTTCGCTGCTTCCTTCGTTGGGTTATTGGCGGAGGGGATAGAAAGGTGGGGGAACAAAGGAAAAGATGGGCTGAAAGATAGATTAATAATGATGATATGATGATAATCATAATCATAATAAAGTTGGAAGGGACCTTGGAGGTCATCTAGTCCAACCCCCTGCTCAGGCAGGAAACCGTATACCATTTCAGACAAATGGCTGTCCAGTTTCTTCTTAAAAACTTCCATTGTTGGAGCATTCACAGCTTCTGGAGGCAGGTGGTTCCACTGATTAATTGTTCTCACTGTCAGGAAGTTTCTCCTTAGTTCTAGGTTGCTTCTCTCCTTGATCAGTTTCCATCCGTTGCTCCTTGTCCTGCCTTCAGGCACTTTGGAAAATAGCTTGACTCCCTCTTCTTTGGGGCAGCCCCTCAAATGTTGGAAAACTGCTCTCATGTCCCCCCCTAGTCCTTCTCTTCATTAAACTAGACATACCCAATTCCTGCAACAGTTCCTTATATGCCCAGAGTTGCTAGGGATACTCTAACGGACAGCATATGCATTTAAGAAAAATCAAACAATCTTCTGCTCTTGCTCTTTCTAGACAATGCAGGGGGAACCAAACCCCTCTGAGTCGCTCATCGACAGGACCATCAGGATGAGGAAGGAAACGGAAGCGAGGAAAGTCCTCCTGGCCTGGGGATTCCTAAACCTGTCACTCGCTGGCATGGTCTATACCGAAATGTAAGTTGGAGAGCTTGCTTGACTGAGTAACACAGGGGTCTTCAAACTTGGCCCTTTGATGTCGTGGACTGCCAGAATTCCTCAGCCAGGCACACGTGCCTGGCTGAGGAATTCTGGAAGTCCACTTGTCCTAAAAGGGCCACATTTGAAGACCCCTGGAGTAACAGAATAGAGTAACAGAATGACAGAGTTGGAAGGGACCATGGAGGTCTTCTAGTCCAACCCCCTGCTCAGTCAGGAAGCCTTACACCATTTCAGACAAATTAGGGCGCTGTCAAGGGTGGGGGACAGACAATGCGATTCACTTAACAGCTGCAGCTATTTGTGCTTTGTAATGATGATTAAAAAAAATAGGTCCTAAAATTGGGCATCGCTCACTTAACCTTCGCCTTGCTTAGCAACACAGATTCAGCTCTAAATTGTGATGATAAGTCGAGGACTACCTTACAAAACTCTGGAAAACAGAAATATGAATGCTAACCTTTGCCTTTCTCTCATTCTAGGTCTGGAAAACTAATCAGTTCCTATTACAACATTTCATGCTGGGTCCTCTGGTATATTGGTGAGTATCCTGCAGGTCTCCAGCAAGGGAATGGTGGTTAGTTTCAATGCCTGAGGATGTCTGCCTTTATCTTGGTTTGTTTTTTTTAAGCAAGTTGGCAGCCCTCTGTGTTTAACATGTTGCTGCATTTGAAGACTTCTGTTCCGTGAACGAAGATGGAATGTAGGTGTCCCAAGATAACGTTGCCGAATCCAATCTGGGTCGGTCACCGGGACCAGTGGTTTTGTCTTCCGAGCGTTTGGACTCGTGCTGAGCCCATCCTCGGGGAATCTCTCCCTAGCCTAGAGAGAGAGTTGGCTAGAGAAAAAGTTCCCTGAGGATGGCTCTGAAAGTCCGAAAGCTCGGAAGACAAAACCTCTCGTCCCGCTGACTGGCCCAGATTGGATCCTGCGACTTCTTTTCCATGTTCTTACAATCCGTCCGTATCACATTCGGCCTATGTGTTAAGTTTAGGTAGTTCCATCCACCCCTCTGGTGAAATTTCCCCTCTACTAACCTTATTTAGCCCCCATACAAGAGAATATTTGTAGCTGAGGACTGGATTGTTGGAACACCTCCCCACCAGCAGGTAAATAGCCTGATAAGCAGAGATTAACACCAAGCAGTAGACAATACCCCAATCAAGGAACTACCAACTCAGATGAACAATGGAACAATAAACCCCAGCCTAATCAAGGAATCACCAAGGACATCCCCATCAACACTGATAGGACAAGCCACCAATATGTAAACGGACCACAATCCCCCTTCTTTCTAGCACGTTCTCTAGTTGGGTCGTGAAATGTCCTTCCCTTCCTTCCTTCCTTCCTTCCTTCCTTCCTTCCTTCCTTCCTTCCTTCCTTCCTTCCTTCCTTCCTTCCTTCCTTCCTTCCTTCCTTCCTTCCTTCCTTCCTTCCTTCTAGCACTGATGATGTTCCCTAGTTGGGTCATGAAACATCTGCAAGAAAGCAACCCAGCTCAGAGAAAACCAAGGACCCCACATTCTTCCTCCTTCTCTTCCTCCTCCTCCTCAAATCCCTCTCCCTTCTAGCACTGATGATGTTCCCTAGTTGGGTCATGAAATGTCTGCAAGAAAACCACCCAGCTCAGAGAGCACCAAGGACCCCACAGTCCTTCCTTCCTTCCTTCCTTCCTTCCTTCCTTCCTTCCTTCCTTCCTTCCTTCCTTCCTTCCTTCCTTCCTTCCTTCCTTCNCTTATTTAGCAATGCCTTTCCTTCCATCACCAACCGATCTGATCTCTTGTTAATGGTTCACTGTAGATTTATGTGTTTGTGTTTTGTTTTTTAAATTCTAGAACTTGGCTTTGCCTCTTTGTTCAGCCTCAACGCCTTATTTGATTTCTGGAGGTACTTCAAATACACCATGGCTCCTACCAGCTTAGTTATGAGTCCTGGACAACAGACACTCCTGGGACTGCAGAACGCAGGTGGGGCTGTTTTCCGTGTTCGTTTAGAGCAGAGCACCTTAAGACTTGTGGACTTCAATTCCCAGAATTCCTCCAGCCAGCATTCTGGGTGATGGAAGTCCACTCGATTATATTGTACACCGCCCAGAGTCCCTCTCCCGAGGGAGAGGGGCAGTTAAGAAATAACAAAATATAAACAGGCAAGCCCCATTACTATAGCATCCCCAACAGATGGCCCTCCGGACTCGGGTTCAGCATCTCCTAAAACGGGTCCCCAACACACACACCCCAGTCCGTGGACTGGCACCAGTTTGCGGCACGCCCGAAACTGGTCTGCACAAACAAGTGAAGCCCCAGGGCTATGTGCTAAAGCAGTCTATTCCATTGATGGATAGCTCTGCATATGAAGGAGTGCAGAGAAACATACAGATATTTCTTGATTTAGGACTAGTTGTTTAATGACCAGGCCCAGGATGGGTGCTTTGTGGACTGTAAAGCACTTCGGCCGCCGTAAAACGTGGGCGCCCTCCTCCCGGTGCCCCCCCAACATGTTTCAGGCACCTGGCTCACCTTTATGACTGTTGCAGCTTCCTGCAGTTCTGTGAGGATGCTTTGTGACTTTTTTGACAATTTCCACCCCACCCCCCACCCCCAAAAAACAACCTGCCTATGGGGAAGTCTGAGTTTGCACTTAACAACCATAATATTTGCTTAATGGCCACGACGGTTCACTCCGCCTCAAAAGTATAAAAATAGATAATTAATAATAATAATAAAGTTGGAAGGGACTTTGGAGATCATCAAGTACAACCCCCTGCTCAGGCAGGAAATCCTATACCATTTTGAACAAATGGCTGTCCAGTTTCTTCTTAAAAACTTCCAGTGTTGGAGCATTCACCGCTTCTGGAGGCAGGTGGTTCCACTGGTTAATTGTTCTCATTGTCAGGAAGTTTCTCCTTAGTTCTAGATTGCTTCTCTCTTTGGTCAGTTTCCATCCATTGTTTCTTGTCTTCGGGTGCTTTGGAAAATAGCTTGACTCCCTCTTCTTTGGGGCAGCCCTTGAGATATTGGAACACTGTTATCATATCCCCCCTTGTCTTTCTCTTCATTGCTAGAAATAGAAGTATTATTATAATGAGAAAAATAAGATTTGTAATTCGAATACGAGATTTTGGTACGAGATGGGAAACGGAAATGCTAAGAAATTTGAATAAGGGAAGCCTTTGCTTGTCCAAATATAACTTACTTTGGAATGATAAACAACAGAGGCATTTTGAACACTGAGGGGAAATTAAAATTTTAAAAAAAAAGCGAAAACAGGATACTGATTGAACATATGGATGTTAAGTGCAAATGCAATTAAGATATGTTTTGGTTGGAAAAGTTACCCAAAACTGACATCATTGATATTATGAGAAAAATGTAACAAAGAGGTTGATATTCAATGGTGTATTTACTAATAACAATAAGAATTGTATTTGCCCAGTTTGGGAAAACAGGCACTGTCGTAAGAAGAGAGTAAACATTGGATGGCGTAATATTGGATCTAGAGTGAAGAAGTTAATATAGACCCCTGAATTACAAATGGACCCAGACAGACAGTATTTGACTGTAAAACTAGAAAATTAATAAAATATTTTTTAAAAAAGTATAAAATCGGGTCCGGTCCCATGTCTGCCTCGATTTACGATCAGAAATCTGTTCCAGTTACGGTCATAAGCTGAGGATGACCAGTTTTTATTTAGCTGCTTTGTTTCTTATCACCCTGAATGGTTTTTCTGTTCCGGCTTCATTCAGAAAGGTTTTTTTTTTTTTCACCCCAACAATTACAATTTTATAGTAGTGGCGAAAAAACAAACCATCATCTTCAAATTACACTTAGCTTGTTGGTCTCTTTGCAGTTCTTCTTAACCTTTGAAGTTTAATTTCAGCGGTCCAGACTACACCGCCCCGTGAGCTGGTGCCCAAGAAGACGCCTCCTTCGACCCCCTCCCCTCCCATCCAGGGGCAGAGTGTCCTGAGCTACAGCCCGTCCCGCTCCCCCAGCACCAGTCCCAAATTTGCAACCGGTTGTATCTCTGGCTACAGCCCACAGCTGCAAGCCATGTCAGGAAGCAGTGGATCCTACAGCCCAACTGGGAGTTTCTCTCCGGGAAGCAACTACAGTAAGGTATGTGTGAGCTGTGGTCCCGTTTACAAGCAGTCCTCGAAGCACGACCAGGATTGGGGATCGGAGTCTCCGTCGCTAAGCGAGGCGGTTGTTAAGGGAGCCGCGTACAACTTGAAATCCATCCATCTTAAAGTGGCTGAGATTGAGACATCTCCAATTCTTACTTTAAGTGTACATAACTATTTCCTACCATTTGACGAGGACAGCTTAACAACTTAAGTACAACTTAATGGCCCCAAATTTCTGTCACTAAGCGAGACATTGAGTTTTGCCCCGTTTTACGACTTTTCTCGCCACCTCGCTTAAGCGAATCGCCGCAGGTCTTAAATTAGGACCCCGGTTGTTAAGTGAATCTAGCTTTCCCCCTTGACTTTGCTTGTCACACGAGCCCAGGACCCTGCGGCCGTCGTAAGTATGAGTCAGTTGTCAAGCATCTGAATTTCCGGTGAGGACCCTGGGGATGCTGCAACGGTCATAAGTGTGGAAAACGGTCATACATCACTTCGGTGCCGTTGTATCTTTGAACAGTCACTAACTGAGCTGTTGTAAGTCGGGGACTTACCCCAACTGTATTTCAGACTGCAGTGAATTGTTTTTTAAATGTTTCCTAACAATCTGTACAGTGGCCAGAGTAATTATTATTATTATTGCTACAATTGAAAGATGTTTGAAAACCTGTGCTGCCATCACAACATTGCAGGTAAACGGTAAAAGCCTGACTCAATCGGCTGAGAAAAAATGGATTCCTGCTTGAAATAAGGGGAAAAAAATGATTTTGGGCCTTGATCATTAAATTGGCTTCTTGTTGAAACGGCTAACAAAGTTTTACCTGAAGTAAAGCATTGAGGTCGCTGCATTTTGTATTTGACTGCACCGACAAATGTTGGAAGTCATTGATTTTTTCTCTTTCTTTAACCTCTTCCCTTTTTTTTCCTTCTGTATTTTCCTATTTTCTTTTTATTTCTATTATATATGGGTAGTCCTTCACTTATGACTGTTCGTTTACTGAGCAAAGTTACAGCCACACTGGAAAAGGTGACATATGACCGTTTTTCAAAACTTAACAACTGTGGCGGCACCCCTGTGGTCACATGATTAAAATTTAGACAGATGTTAAAAATGTAAAAATAATTCAGGCACGTATTATCATGTTTGATGGACATGTGAGAAAGCAAAGAGAACCTGAACTTTTTTTACTAGGTATAATGCCAGAAAAGGCTAATAAACAAAGCCTATATTTGATTTTACATGTCACAACAGCTGCAAGAATAACGTTTGCGCAATATTGGAAAAATGAAGGAATACCACCAGAGGAAAGAAATAATTAAAAAAAATACTGGAATGCGCAGAGATGGACAGATGGACTATGAGATTGAAAGAAAAAGAAGAAACAGAATATTATCAAACTGGGGACTTATTTTATCAGTGGCTAGAGAGGAAAGATTGAAGGATTAGGAATTAAATGTGTATCAGTGTTTTTTTAAAACCCAGATAGCACGTTGGTTGAAAAATTATTATATGTAAGAAAAAATCAATAAAATCTTAAAATTTAGACACTTGGACACATATATATGACGGTCGCAGCGTCCCGGGGTCGCGTGATCCCCTTTTGCGACCTTCTTGACAGGCACAGTCAATGGGGAAGCCAGATTCTTTTAACAACCGTGTTACTAACTTAACAACTGCAGTGATTCAGTTCACAACTGTGGCGAGAAAGGTCCTAAAACGGGGCAAAACTCAGCAACTTCCACACTTAGCGACAGAAATTCTGGGTTCAGTTGTCGTAAGTTGAGGACTGCCCATGTTGTAATAAACTTCAGTAACGATTCAGAAAGAGAAAACGCTGGATTCCTGATTTCATTTGGTTCCGCTTAGGTGCCGCCGTTCAGTCCTTCTCCGGGCCCCTTGATGTACCCGACTAGCATTGGGCCCGTGGACAGTGGCGGGATGAGGTCCAGATATCGCTCCTCGCCGACCGTCTACAATTCCCCCACGGGAAAAGCCGACTACATGACGGATTTGAAGTCGCTCGACAGCTTCCTTCGAAACGAGGAGGAGAAACAGCACCGGGTCCAGCTGGGTGAGTAGTGGGCTGAAAGAAAGGCGGGGCGGATAACTCACAGCGCATTCACCGAAGTTACTTAAAAGTTAAGTCAGTGTGTATTGTGGTGTATTGGTTAAGGCACCAGGCTAGAAATCGGGAGATCGTGAGTTCTAGGACCGCCTTAGGCGTGAAAGCAGGCTGGAGGACTTTGGGCCAATCACCAGGACACAGAGAGTTCTAGTCCTGCCTTAGGCACGAAAGCCAACTGGGTGACTTTGGCCCAATCACCAGGAGACAGAGAGTTCTAGTCCCGCCTTAGGCACAAAAGCCAGCTGGCTGACTTTGGCCCAATCAGGAGACAGAGAGTTCTAGTCCCGCCTTAGGCAGGAAAGCCAGCTGGAGGACTTTGGGCCAATCACCAGGAGACAGATTCTAGTTCCGCCTTAGGCACAAAAGCCAGCTGGGTGACTTTGAGCCAATCACCAGGAGACAGAGAGTTCTAGTCCCGCCTTAGGCATGAAAGCCAGCTGGGAGAGTTTGGCCCAATCACCAGGAGACCGTGAGTTCTAGTCCCACTTTATGCATGAAAGAGGGCTGGGTGACTTTGGGCCAATCACCAGGAGACGGTGAGTTCTAGTCCCGCCTTAGGCATGAAAGCTGATTTGGTGACTTTGGGTCAATTACTAGGAGCCAGTGACTTCTAGTTTCTTTGAGTGATTAGCCCAGTCACCCAGCCGTATTTTGTGCCTAAGGCGGAACTAGAACTCACCGTCTCCTGGTTTCTAGTCGCCCTCAAACAGGCTCTCTTAGCAAAGGAGGCGGTCGGAGGGTCCAGCGGCCTCATTTCTGTCTGTTTCTCTCGATCGCCGCAGGCAGCTCGGATTCCAGCTCTCCTTCAAACAGTCCAACATTTTGGAACTACGGCCGCTCCATGGCGGACTACGCCCAGATGCTCAGGAAATTCCAGTACCAGCCAGCCTACAGGTCCCAGGCCCCCTCAGCTAACAAGGATGAAGCCGACTTGAGTTCCAAGCAAGCCGCCGAAGAGGTGAGCAACGTTGGCGGGGACGGAAAAGGTGGTTTTCCTCCACGGTTCTCCGCAGGCCTCGGTCCAGGCTGCACATCCTCCTAAGTCAGGGTTAGGCAACCTTGGCTCTTTTATGACTGGTGGACTTCAACTCCCAGAATTCCTGAGCAAAATAGTGTGACCCCCCACCCACCCCGCTCTTTCTTGGCAGCTCCTCAGACCTTGTGAAGTTCTTCCTACTTTTCCCTCCTGCCTGGAGTTGTTGTAACTTCAAAACCTCTTTGTCTTCCTGGCCAGGTCTGGGCACGCGTGTCGATGAGCAGGCAGCTGTTCGATCACATGGATTCCTGGACCGCCAAATTCAGAAATGTGAGTTTTTGCCTTTGGCCTGTGTGTGTGTGTGTGTGTGTGTGTGTGTGTGTGTGTGTGTGTGTGTGTGTGTGTGTTAAATGTGAGCCAGCCCTGAAAATTCCTTCCTGAGGTCGGAGCTTAGAGAAGAGACTCCGGCTAATTAGGGGTGCTTGAGCCTGAAGTCCACATAGTCCTTGACTTGAGGACTAGTCGCTTAGTGAAACGTAGAAACACCAACATCAGAAAAGCATCCAGCAGCCCATCAAGTCTACCGTCTGAACATTTTGTTTGTTTTTGTTTTATTTTTAATTTAAAAGGTCACGCTTTCCCCCTGTCCAGTTGTGCCCCACTTTAGGGGCCCCGTGCTCATCTCCATTTAATGATCGGTTGATTATTTTATTATTATTATTATTATTATTATTATTATTATTATTATTATTATTATTATTATTATTATTATTATTATTATTATTATTATTATGGATCATCGCACAGTCAGCCAGATGTTCAGACTGGATTTGGCATTTTTGTCTACCTATCGAGTCCTTCCCAAGGACCTATTATTATTATTATTATTATTATTATTATTATTATTATTATTATTATTATTATTATTATTATTATTATTATTATTAAATTGCTTTTTGTCTTGTTATTCTTTTTATCATACTCTTTATTTAATTTTCAGCAGGCCGTCAAAGTTCCAACAGACCTTCCCAGGGCTACTTACGGCCCAGATTTGAAGTTTCAATGGACACACACACACACACAAACACACACACACAGAGCTTTCCTTCCGGAAGTCCCAATTGTGTTTTGCGCATTCGACAAGCGGCCCTCATTTACAGCCGTTTGCAGCGTCCCGCAGTAACCCGATTACAATTTACAACATTGATTGATTGATTGATTGCAGGAAACCAGGGTTTACTTCTGGTTTTTGACCAAAAAGATTTTAAAAAAATCCCATTGTGGACAATGACTCATTTTACGACCGTAGTGTCTGGTTAATGACCATTGCAAAAAAAAAAAAAAAAAAGGTCAAAATTGGGCCAAAATGCTCAAATGGGGAAACGCTTAACACCCAGCAGGATTTATAACCCTAACTTCAGGCTCAGTGACCGTCGTAAGTTGAGGACTGCCTGTAACCCATTGCTTTGAGAAGGCCTTTTCCTATTGCTGGTAAATGCTCAGTGCTGTGTGTGCGTCAGCGAAATAGCAAATACAGATGTCGTTCTTCTAAATTCTATTTTCTCCCCTTCTTCCCCCCCCCCCAATATCTTTTCGGATCCGACAGTGGATCAACGAGACAATTTTGGTGCCTCTGGTTCAGGAGATCGAATCTGTAAGCACTCAGCTGCGAAGAATGGGCTGTCCAGAGCTGCAGATTGGAGGTACAGCGACGCTACAGGAAATTTTGTGCTGTAATCATGGCTTCCAAGTAAAATATGTGGATTAAAAATCATAATTACGTATAAAGGGGCTTTTTTTACTAGCTGGAAGCATCTGAAGTTGTCAACCCTGTAGGGAAAAAAAAACATTTTTGAGAGTTACATTAATACAAGATGGAAGACGGGTGGACTTCAACTCCCAGAATCCCCCAGCCAGCCAAGCTGTTTTTTTTAAAACTGGTGCTTCTCCATCTTGGAGGGTTGAACATGGGTGGACTTGAACTCCCAGAATCCCCCAGCCAGCCAAGCTTTTGTTTTTTTAAGCTGGTGCTTCTCAATCTTGGAGGGCTGAAGACAGGTGGACTTCAACTCCCAGAATCCCCCAGTCAGAATTGAAGTCTACCCATCTTCAACCTGCCAAAGTTGACAAACACTGGCTTAAAATTTTGGGATGTCCACATAGGCTTTCTAGCAGCCATTTTTTCTTGTGGCAACATCAGTTTTAGTGGTTGTGCCTCCCATAATCCCCTGCAATCTTCACCAGTGATTCTTTCTGCATTCCAACTCCTTTTTAAAAATATTATATTATATTATATCCCTACCCACAAAGTCGATTTGAAGAATTTCGATCAACTAAGTAACAGGAAGTCCTTGACTTAATGACCACCTTTCAGCCCAAAATTTCTGTTGCCGAGTCAGACATTGGTTAAGTCAGTTTTGACCCGTTTTAGGACCTTTCTTGCCTCCGTTGTTAAGTGGATCGCTGCAGTTGTTAAGTTAGTGACCTGGTTGTTAAGTGAATCTGGCTTTCCCCATGGACTTTGCTGGTCAGAAGGTCACAAAAGGGGATTGCGTGACCCCTGCAATGGCCACCGTCATAAATATGAGCCAATTGCCAAGCGGCTGAATTTTGATCACATGGCCCTGGGGATGCGGCAACGGTCGTAAGTGTGAAAAACGGTCATAAGTCACTTTTCCCCGGTGCCGTTGTAAGTTCGGTCCCTAAGTGAACTGTCGTAAGTTGAGGACCCCTTGCATTCCATCAAGTAACTTAAATACGAAGCGTAGCCTGTTTTGGCTTTGTTCAGAAGCCTCGTTCCAGGGAGGTTTCAGCAAGCATCTTGAATTATGGTGTTGCAGAATTATTGTGTAGCAGCTGCTCTTTCCGTTTGTGAGGTTGTTTCTTGAACAAAAGGAAGTCCACAGCTGTTGTCGAAGCCCGAAACTGGGGACTTTCTTGATGGCGAAGGTTGCAGTTTCTCTGGTTTTT